TGCCATACCAAGTGTGTCCCTTTCCTCAACTTGACCTTAGAAAGGCAGGTTAGACCTTATGTATTTGATGTACCTAATTCCATGCAGGGACTTGATTTAAAGTCCCCATACTCCAAGCATAAGGTTTGGACTGAGATGAATCAAACTTCATTAGATCTTTGATATTTTTGAACAAGTACCTTACACTTTTAAGATCTCATTTTCCTCCATTGTAAAGTAGGAATAATAAAAACCACTTCATATGATTACTGTGAAAGTCAAAATAAAATAATATTTGTGAAAGCACTTAACAGAGTTCTCAGCACATACCAGATATTCAATTGCATTTATTTCTCTTTCTACTCCTTTCTCTCTATCCTCACGCACTCCCCATGCCCCGTTTCAGAGGGTAAGGGATCTGGAAATTTGAGTTAGCCACTTGGTCTCTACAGTGTCTCTGTAGAACTTCTAGCCCTCTTCCTGAGCAACCGCTTTCTCAATATTCCCCTACATATACCCTTCAGCTAAGTTAATTAGAAGAGATTTTGACATATATTAGGTTAATTTCTGCTTATATACCTTTAGAAAACTATATATGGTTTAAAATGATTTCAAATCTTATTTATTTTTCTCATAAAGCCAAATTTGACTTTAATTTTCTTAACAAGCAAAACAGGCCACAAAGAGTTAAACTAATAAACGATGGAATTGGAGGAGGAAAGCAGAAAAAAGAAAACAAAATCAAAATGCTCTACCAATTTCAAAATAAGTTCGGAGTTTTCTTCATTATTTATTTTTAAAGACAGAAGTCAGATCAAGTCACTCCTCTATTGAAAATCCCCTATGACTTCCTATCTTAATCAGAGTAGAATCCAATATCTTTACTATGGCTTAAAAGCTCCAAATGATCTGGCTTCCAACCCTGTCCTGCAACACATTCATGCAGGCTTCTGACAACAGGGCCATAGCACTTGATGTTACAGCTCCTGAAGGCTCATCCCTGAGATCCCTATCTAGTAGGCCTACTCATCCACTTTTATTAGGTCTCTGTTTAAATATTACCTGATCAGAGGAGCATCCTCAGACCACTCTATTTAAAACAGGATGTTTGTTCACGCTTTGCTCACCCTACCTTGCTTTATTCTTTTTGGTTACAATCACCTCAAGACAAAATATTATATGTAAGTTTATTTAAGTTCTGTCTCCCTCATGACTCTTTTGTTCACTGCTGTATCCTCAATACCTAGAACAGTCCTTAGCACATAATAGGTGCTCCATTCATATTTAATTAATCAGTGAATATTTAATTCATAAATATAGTATTGAGAATCTAAGTAGAGTGCATTAAGTTCTCATAAGAAATGTTAGAAATAAGTTCTCTTCTGAATAATATTAAAATCTAAAACAAAAAAATAAAACACAGCTTCTACATGAGAAGTCATGACAGAGAGGGACAAGAATTAAAAAGTAGCTTAACATAGGGTGAACATGTAAAATGCCTATATATCAATATGTATATGTAGAAATGAATCACTTTGCTGTACACCTGAAACTACACAACATTGTAAATCAACTCTACTCCAATATAAAATAAAAATTAAATTAAAAAAAAAGAAATGAACTTAACCCATCACAAATTTCCTGGGTTCTAATTATTTAAAACCCTAAAATGTGCTATTTGTGAAGAGAAATATACAAAAATTATATGATTAACTCAGATCAGATAAAAGAGGATCAATATTAATATTACAAGTTATATGTTACTGCATTAAATCTGTTTAAAGAAATAATAAAAACAATTTTAAAAAACTGCAAGTAGTATTCAAAGGTGAAACATTTTGCACATTCAAAAAAGACCAATATATAGCCAATAATGAAGAGACACACACCAGTACACATATATAAGCTAAATAACATGACATAAAACGATACCACACAGTGGAAACTCAGTGGAATTAAGTGGAAGACGGACATTTTGAACTCATTCCTATTAGCATTTGACAGATCAACTAGATGAAATTTAAATAAGGATATGGGGAAAATGAACAATATGATTAATGAACATATACCAAATTCTTCTTTCCACAAATAGGATAGCATAAATGACCAATAAGTCACAAAGAAATCTCAGTAATTCAGAAGAATAGAAATGAAACTAGGAAGTAATAGTGAAAGTTTAAAAAAAAAAAAAAGGCCAATACTTAGTCAAATAACAACTGTGTATTATCTTTGTGCCACCCTGTAACATCCTAGACACAATATTCAGTCTCTTTGATGAGCAGACCACCAAACATGAGTGCCCACCAAACATTTCTTGTGGGAGCAACTTCCCAAAGGGCTTGGACAGGTTTGATAATGCACAACTCTACCTATGCCCCTAGCTTTCTTATCACATCAGCTACCACCATATTTGCTCTTCACTTCTTGGAATTCCAAATCTTTCCCCTATGTTAGGCAGAGAAGCTTCTCTCTTCCTGGGTGGACACCCAGGCCCTGGAGGATTCAGGTGCTAATCTAAGCACTTAGTCATAGTATATTTTTCCCAGCAAAGTCATGTTTCAACTTCAGAGGCAATCTGGTGCCAGCTGTTAGGTAGAAACATTTTTGCCACTGTGTTGTTACCAACATAGAAGACAATAAAACAAATCAGGAAGAATTAAAATTGTTTCTTCCAACTCTGGTGCCTACATGCTAATGGAGTTGAAACAGTATGCTCATGCCATTTGGATTTCTGGATCTTGGTGCTTCCTGTCAGTTAATTCATCAAAACCAGTGTAGTGGGAAGAAAATCTTGTCTAGTATGGTAGTGAAGAGCATAAGCCTTAGAGTTGGGTTTTTTGGTTTTGAGACTTAGTAGCTGTATGACCTCATACAAATTATCAATCCATCTGAACCTTATTTTCTTTGCCTCATGTAAAGAAGGAATAAATATATAACTTGTACGGACGTTTACAAATTAAACGATAGGCCCATACACCATTTTTTTTTTCTTACAAAGTCTCCCTTTTTATGCAAAATGGGGCCTGACAGGAACTCTTGTGAGAAATGCAGATTTGCTGGCCATAACTGAGACCCACTGAATCAGAATCTGCATTTTACCAAGACCCTCAGGTGATTCTCATGTACACTGAAGTTTGCAAAAGAACTAATCTAGTCAATAACAGATGAGAAATGACAACAATTTCTTAAGGAAATTGCCCGTTTAATTTTTCATATACTAACATTTTATATGGTTTTTGCTCCTATGCTAATCAATACCCTTTTTTTTTTTTAAACTAGGCAAACGTGGAAGTTTTGATTCCTTCGTGATCTTTAGAGACTTTCCTTCATACTGAAAATATTAATAATAAATGAAATGGAAGGAATGCCAGCCTATTCTCATCATGGCCTTTGTATGGCCCTAGTTTTTTCTCCAGACCACCTCCAGCTTTGGGAAAATGTGCCCATTGTCAAAAGTCAGGAGATGGAGACAAAGATTAACACTGAAATCTTTAGAAAAAAATTATGTCTGTTTGCAGTTGCATGACACTTCACCAAGCTTTTCTAGAACACTGTTCTCAAGCTCTAAAAATATAGATTAATACATTCACTTGTAAAGTTTTGAAAACCAAATGAACACTGTATGGAAAAGTTCCTAATGCAATGCCCAGCATATAATCAGTGCTCAAGAAATGTTAGTCATTTCCCTTCCTGTTCATGCTTGCTCTGTTGTAATTATCTTTTAAATGCCTATATTCCATATTAGGCTGTGAACATCAGAGGGATGGAATTTATTTCTTTTAGATATCTAAGTCATAAATACAGGACCTTCCACATAATTTATCTATAATTATAGATAATACATAATTTCTGTCTTTAGCTATTTTTCATACATTTATGTAAACCAGGACCAATGATTGATTGAAAGATTCATTTATGGAATTATTAGACAAGTAATTATTGTGCAGCTAAGAGGGATGATACTTATATATCTCATATATTATCTCACAACAGAATGTAAAATTAAATTGTGATCAAGTGCTGTAAAAGGTACACGGTGCTCTAAGAATGTAGTAGGTGAGAAAACTGTTAGAATAAGAACAGCTCAGCAAGATTCTGTCTTCTTGGCATGTTTTCCATTGGTCTAGCATGTCACTATCTTCTACTATGGTCTGATTTACTTTTTTTGGATTTTTTCTTAAGTTGGAAAATCTTCTGAGGCACTGCTTCCAGAAGGCCAGTGTTCAAATGAACCACTAGTGAGAAGATTAGGTGCAGAGAGATGGATAAGGCCGCTAGTGTCTTCCTTAGCCCTCTTCTATTAATTAACATATTGGTACTGATTATCCTGTCAGAATAGTTTAGAGGGCTTCCCTTGTGGCGCAGTGGTTGAGAGTCCGCCTGCCGAGGCAGGGGACACGGGTTCGTGCCCCGGTCCGGGAAGATCCCACATGCCGCGGAGCGGCTGGGCCCGTGAGCCATGGCCGCTGAGCCTGCGCGTCCAGAGCCTGTGCTCCGCAACGGGAGAGGCCCCAACAGTGAGAGGCCCGCGTACAAAAAAAGAATAGTTTAGATACTGTCACTTCGGGAAGACAATTGAGTCACAGAACAGTTGAGTTCAATGATATTTGTGACATAAAGGAGGTTCAAATCCCCAGGTAGATGGGGGATACTCTGAGCTCACCCAGCTAAGGAACCTGGGCGACCCCAGTCAGGCCATTAATCCTTCCACAAGGAGGACACAGGTTTCATCACATTGCTGAGTGATTATGTCAAAAGAAAACACTTCATTTTACAATTTTAATTATACTGAAATTTTTAAAATCATCTCCAGCTGATAACCATGGCTTCCTGCATCTATAATCCCCCTGTATGCTAACACTACTTTTAAATTTGCGATTCTGTTTGCAGCCCACAAATGACGAAGAGAAGTGGGTGGTACTCAGCGAGTTAGGGAATTTGCTCATAGGAAGCTCCTGTTGAGGAATAACGGACTGGGGATGAAGCCAGGCCTTTTCGCGCTCCCCCAGTTGATGCCCTACCTGTTCCTGTAGTAGTACTGATGTGCTACAGTCGTCGACCGAGCTTGCAACCGGGCTAACGTGGCCATAGCCTCAGCGCGCCAGCTGCACCGCTGGAGTTACTCTGGGTCTCCTAGGCAACCGGGCTAAACCATTCCGCTGGTCCCGGGGGTTCAACTTTTCGTTGACTTTACATTTTCTCCCTCACACTGTTTCAGTTTCCGGAAGACTAGAAAGAAAAATTAAGAAATTTTTCTTATGAAAAATTTCAAATTATTGGCTTCTATATCTTCTGCGAGCAAAAGGAGGAGACCCTCGGAGAAGGAAGCTGGGGTGGGGGCGGGGAGGAGAACTAATGGTTGCTCCCGGCATCCGGTTTCCGCCTCCAGTCGGCTTCCGGAAGCTCAGCTCAAAATGCTGAACTGCTCCTGGGAAGCCGCTGGTGCTGTGGCAGTTGGAGTCTGTTCTCGGGCCTGAGGCTCGAGGCCAGGCTCCTGGGTGTCGTTAATGTTCGGGGCCGCCGGGCGCCAACCGATCGGAGCTCCAGCCGCCGGGAACAGCTGGTGAGGCTGGCGGCCCAGGGGATGGGAGATCTGGAAAGGGTGTGATGGCCGGAGGCCGCTGGACCTGGAATGGAAGGGGGAGGGAGTTGCGATGGATGATCTGAAGACCTTTAGGCCTTGCTCTCTCACTCGTGCCTGGGATGGACGCAATTTGAGGAAGGCGTTGAGGTGTGTGCTAAAGATTTGCGAAGGAATACAGTTAATGCTTGCTGATGGCTTGTCTACCACGCCACGATAATTTAGGCGTGAACCTTTCTGTACTCCAGGAGCAATTCATTTCCTCATTGATTGTTGACAAGACGAGGGTACAGAAGAATGTATCTTAATATAGGCCTTATTTCCTCATTTGCCTTTTTAAATTTACTAGATTATCCCAGGTGTTTTGGAAGATCAAATCCCAGAAATCTAGACTCCTGGAAGTTCAGTAGTGGAGGAGACTTCGCCCTCCTACCCCGGGTTTTTGGAGTAGGAGTAACCTACCAGTTTCTGCCCCTTGAACGTTCCATTCTAGTTCAGATAAGATGTGCATGGGGTGTCCCTTGAGCACATGTAAATATCAGGATTAAATTTGGAGTTCGACTACAGTATCATAGCACCAACGCCACTTTAGAATAATAAACTGCTTTGACTTGTCAGGGTGCTTTCACAAATACACACACTTTACCTTTATGACAGCCCTATGCTAGGAGATGATCAGAGGCACAGAATAGTTAAGTGACTTGTCCAGTGTTGCCATGCATCCTTTAGTCCTAGAGCTAGAAGCTGGGTTTTGGATTTCTAGTTGAAAGCTCTGTAATTCCGGTCTTGTTTTTCTCCCAAACCCTTTTCCTCCAAGCCTACCTAAGACTAACAGTGAAAGAAGCAAAATTTCCACTGACTGGCCTCAAACATAAAGTGTTGAACAACAGGTGAAATGCAGCTGTAATATGTCTGTCCATTCCTAGATCTGCAGCAAATGAGAATATGGGGGATTCTAGTAGCCTGTGATCTGAAGAATTTCTTTTGCATCACCTATCACTGAAAAGTTAAAAGAATATCTTGCCTAAAATGTTTTGAATGAGATCATATCATCCTGTAGTTCATTTTATAATGAATATAGACTTGTTTATGCTCCTTTTTAAAAAATTGTCTTAGTTGAAATATAGTTGATGTACAATATTGTATTAGTTTCAGGTGTCCAGCATTGTGATTCAGTATTTTTACAGATTATACTCCATTGAAAGTTATTACAAGATAATGCGGAGGGGCAAATTAGGGGCATGGGCTGAAGACATACAAACAACTATGTATAAAATAGATTAGCAACAAGGATATACTGTATAGCACAGGGAACTATAGCCATTATCTTGGTTATGCTCCTTTTAAATGCTCACATTATCCTGTGAGAAAAATAGCACTTTTTTTTTTAAATGAGCCTTTTTTTTTAAAATAGTGAAGCAATTAGCATAAAATAAAACACATAGTTCTTAAGTGTTTAGTATTTTTAGTTTTGACAGTTGTATACACTGTGTAACCACAACACAAAACAAGATATGGGACATTTCCATCACCTCGGGGTTCCCTCTCCAGGGTACCTTTCTTAATGTTTCACCATTAAGCATCTATTTAAGAGGGGGGGGAAGACAAAATGTGCTCTGTAGACTGGTCTGCTCTTGTTATAGTGATACTGATTTGTGTGATAAGTGACTATTTAATTTAAAAGTATGACTCTTTCAACTCCTTTCTCACCCTTCCACCTTCCACCCAATTCATGGTTAGGTACCTCTTTATAATATAGAGGTACTATGCCTGTGTGTTTTATGCCAGTGACGAAATATCAGTGCCACTAGGGATGCTACTACTAAGCAGTTATTTGGTGCCGGGTTTTAAGTACATGTATCATCTCTTGTAAGTTTTTTGAGGTAGGTCCTATTATTTTTTGCATTTTAGAGGTGGTGAGACAGGAGCAAATGTAGTTTAAATATACACCCAAGTATCATATTTGCAGTATGATTCCAGTATATCTAAAAAAAAAAAATTCTTAACTCTCCTAGCATACTGCCTATGTGTCCGAATGAGATTCCATATCACAAGGAGTATATAAACCGGAAAGTATATGCCCAGATTTGTTAACCAGGCTAGAATTCCTGATGTATCTAACTCCCATCTTGAGTTCAACTTTTTCTCCAATGTCCGGGATGGTTTTTCAATTTTCAGGCACCACATGGGTAAATGTAGATGATTCCTTTCTTTCTTAATAGTTTGTTAAAAGGTAGAACTGATATATTATTTTATAATTTAAAAGCCTAAGGAAGAAAAGTTTTATACAATTAAATAATAAAAATTCTATGTTTTTTGTGTGTCAGGAAATATGTTTTTTGTGCAAGTTATTATATAACTTTAGTTATTTAGTTAACTAGTTAGTATATAACTAGTTATTATATAATATAGTTCATATTATATTTTTATAAAATCTTTATAGCTGGGAATGTCTATCTTCTCTTCCTGCCACCTCATTCACATACAATTTTGAAAGTAGGGTCCAAAAAGTATCTATTTTGGTACTTAAAATGTTAACCTGCCTTTTAAAATTTGAGTCATTTAATGGACAAATCACATTTAGAATTTTGACACACTTTATTACTTTTTACTTTATTAGTGCTTTATATTTAAAGTCAATTTCTGAGGGTTTTTTTGGGGGGGGAAGATTTTGAAGGTTGAACTGAACAGATTTTTAAAATTATTTCTTGATAATGAAACTATTGAATCATTATTGATCTACTGAGCTATAGTATCTATTTATTTCACTTTATGTGGCTTTGCTTTAAAAGAAAGCCCATTACAAATAAACTATTGATTCTGGACCTTTTCTTCTACCATTTCATTTCTATTTGCTATTTTGATTTTATTTAGGTCTGGAAAACTGCATAGTGAATATGTGCTTTTTAAATAACTTTTTTTTTTTGTTTTTTGGCCTTTTGTCTTGAACTCAGTTTCATACTGTCAGGTTTGTCTGAGTCAGGTTTCTGTAATTTGAAATCTGGATTGTTCAAATTTTCAGTCAAGTCATATATTTCCTTTGTTGTTTGTTCATTCATTGTCATTGATTGGTTTGTTCATCCAGCAGACTTTTTTAAAACATCTGTTATGTGCCAAGCATTATGCTAGGTACTTGTAATTAATATTCAGTTGCCTTCATTCTCATTCCTATTCTAGGAATTCAGAATATATTCAAAAATATTGAGTAGTCACCATGTGTGAGCAATGCGTGAGACTCATTTCCTAAATATTAGAAGGTTGCCTAGATGCACTTTAATATTTGCTTGTTAACAAGAATTGTTCTGAATTATTTTTTAGGCTTTACATTATTTGTTTTAGACTTTGACTTTATTTCCTTAGACAGTTTTTTATTCAATAGTTTACTTTTAGAAAGTGTTTACAGTATAAGGAAAGAAGTTTGAATGACTCTTGAAGTTGTTAAATGAAAAAAAAATCAAAAGAATGATCTTCACATTTAAATAATGAATGAGCTGCCTTATTAGATCACTATTTGGAAAACAGAAATAGAAAATCACTGTTTGGAAAGTAGAATTAGATTTTTTTTTTTGGTAAAGCCATGTATGAACTGCTTTTTGTCACATTGCTAGGGTAAGGAGGAAAGAAAGCTTTCTGGGGGTTCCCGTGGTGACAGAAGTGACAAAGTAGTGGCTGCCAGCAACACCTCTAGTTGAGTGCAAGTCAGTAGAACTTTTGCTCCCATCATGGGAAATGAGTTTATCTGTTTGGTGGCGAACGTTGTGGCTCTTAACTTGGAAGGATGATATCCTTTCATCTTTTTTTTTCTTATATCTGTATATTAATTATTAGGATAGGAGTAGGTCAAATACACAGCATTAATTTTTTTTTAACCTGAGATTTTTGGGTTTGTTTGTTTTTTAATCGATAAAAGTCTTTAAGGAAGTGCTTAAATTTCTTGAAATTCTATGAAAGATTTTTACAAATGTCTGTTTACTCCTCTCTCACCGTAATTCAGAGAGGTTCAAGAACTCAGAAAAGTTGATGGTCTTAGCTTTTATTATGACATACTCAGGATTCATAGTATACTTTGTACCTTAAAAGAAGAATGATTTGATATTTCAATAACAGTTTCCTCTTATTTGTGTGTAGAGGTTGTTGAAAGGTGAAATAACTGCTCTCACACATAAGTACCCATTCTTATCCTCACAGAATCCCTACAAGATAGTCATACACATTTTTATGATGAAGAAACAGAATCAAAAGATAAGTAATTTGTCCAAGGTCCTCTGGCTGATGACTATAGTATAATTTAGCTTCCAAATTCTTGCTTTGACTCTTAAAGCTCATGTTCCCTAGTTTCCTCCCAGCCTTTCTTTCCCCCTAGTGAATTCTATTCCATATTTATTGCCTAGTGTCAATGTAAAGTTATAATTAATCATTTGCATGTTTCAGAATAAGATAGGTTCCCCAACCCCCATGCTACTTTTTTAAAAGAGAGAGAAGATTACTTACAGTTAATGGTTTATATTGATATGTCAAGGAATTTCTAAACTAGCCCAAGTGTTACCATTTAATGTTAGAGTTATTCTTAATTTCCTATGATCTGTCCCAAAATACATAAATAGAGAAAATTGAAGATGTAATCTCTTAATAGGTTACTAGACTGAGATAAAGACTTGTTTGAACAAATAATATTACCATTAAGGAAGGAAATCTGTAAATTCCTATGAGCAGCAGAAATCTTAATCAAACTTTAGAACATTCTTATGAATCATATTTTGTTAAATTAGTCATAAAATTTAGCCCTTGATGTGGCATCTTTAAGGCTCATCATTTGCCTGTTTAGTCTCCCACGGTCATGGTCTACAGTATTATGTGTTCATTTTAATCTGTTTGGCTATTTGCTATATACTTTTAGGACCAACCAACCTTTCCTATCTTAAGTAAAAGCTAACATGAATATCAAGGCATGCTAATTCCAAAACTATTTTCTTCTTAAGCTTGTGGTAGTAATAGTATATATTCATCAGCATAGTCCTTGACTATGTACTGTTGGTTCAGTGTTTTAGCACTCACTGAATTTTTATTCATACAGAGTCTAACACGTAAATCGTTATTCCCTTAAATTTTTGAAGCCAATTGAACAGTTGTATTTATTAATAGGTACCTTTTAGCACTCCACTCCTAAAATTACTTAACTTTGTAGAAGATGTAATCTTTTACAGAGATGAAGATGTGAATTTTACCATGTACGAGGTGGTAAAGAGTTTAATTTTTTTTTCCTCAGCTAGATATGTGAAAGCTGTAGTCAATTACCCTTAAGGTATATCTGGAAGATTTTTGTTTTATAATGAACTTGGTGGGTTTATTCAGTAGACACATATGTGCATCCTCTTGTTACAGTTATTTTATCGGTATCCAGAAAAAGAAATTATTCCCTAATTTTCCTATATATGCTATATTTTTCCCTTCTAGGAATAGTAGTTATTGCCAATACGGGCTTCAAAAAAGTAATAATCATTGACAAAATGGTTAGTTGTTGGTTATTGGGAGGGAATTTGTTTTCTGGGCTTTCTTGGACTTTAACTCCTGCTATGCCTGCCTCTACATTGTTGACTCCCTTTGAGGCCCTTGGTTCTTTGGTCAACTTGTCAGTTCTTATTTAGGGCTTATTTAGGAAAATATCTTTAGGATAAAATGTTTCCGGGCAATGGTCTTCAGTAACTGCCAAGGCAAAGGAAATAAATGAGCTATTGATCATGTGATGGTCTGTTACAATGACTATTTCTGTGAAGCTTGTTGACGCCAGTTTTACCTGAAGGTGTAAGTGAAGCAGCTTGACTAGCTGTAATAGTACTGGCTCATTTACAGGGGTTTTGGTTGAGATTGACTTGCAGGACTCTGGTGAGTTGAAACTAAAGGGGAAAAAGTGATTTGAACTCTGAATGTCACTTAAATGTATTTTTTCTGTGTTTTTATAGGGATTTTTTTGAAAAGCCTTTTAAAGTAGTTTTTTCGTTGATTCATGTTTGAATCACATCATGGAATAAATTAGATTCTTCTAGTTAAAATACTTTTTATTTTCTCTTAAGAAAATCAATATAAAATCAGATAAGGCTGGCACAATTTTAATAATGTTATAAAGAAATTTTGCTTTCATTTTTAGTAATAGTATTGGTTATATTTGGTTAAACTGCATTAGTCACAGCAGTATAATGAATTAATTTAAATGAAATTAATGAATAGTATCAAATTTCAGTAGATTAAATCTGATGTGCTAAGCTTCTTCTAATGTTAGGACCATTACATTTTCTCTTCTAAAGTAAAGCACTAAAGTTTAACTTCCAAAATAACCTGCAATTTTAGTTGGAGATTATATTCATGCATTGAGTTAATTAATTTCATATTACTATTTAGAACCAGTCATTCACCCATTGATAAGAAAACTATTTCTTCAAAAAGTAAATTCCTCCAGAACCAGGTGATACTGAGTCTTCCTTTAGACAAAGGATCTTTATTGTAGTACATGTTAAACTGGCTTCCAGTGAATTTTTTTAAAGGTACAGTATTGTTTTCAGAGATAATAATTCTCAGACTACGTTTCCTCCAAAGAAGTAGTGTTAAAGGAAAAAAACAAAATATTCACTGCAATAAACGGAAAACAAAAAAGGCAAGAGATAATAATTCTCAGACTACGTTTCCTCCAAAGAAGTAGTGTTAAAGGAAAAAAACAAAATATTCACTGCAATAAACGGAAAACAAAAAAGGCAGTTATTAACATTTAGGTATTGAAATAAGATTCATTTGGCTTATCAATGTAGTTGGAATTGTAGCCCTTGTATTGGCTTAATGCTAATTCCTATGTGATGCATATTTCTCTTCATCAAATTCAGTGTTCTGAAACCCGAGTAACCTTTTAAAGGCAAAAAAAAAATTTTAGCGGCCCTCCAGAGTTCATTTATAATATATATATTTGAATCACCATGTTTTTGAAAAATGTTTGTCTATGTAGACTTTTTGTTTATTCATTCAGAATGTCTAAGGAGATAGATCTGGAAAATACAAACCCACATTAACTGAAAGACAATGTCCTATTACTTAATTGCTCACAGTGTGCATTTTACTGAGGACTACATCACTGGTTCTTTTCGACTCACTTTCACCACCCAGCTGCCCAGTGCCTTATGTTGATTCAGGTCTCCCATCCCTTTTTTCTGTTCAGAAGAATACAATGCTTAACTGTGAGTCATCAGCTTTACATAGATGCGTATTAAATCTGTCTCAACAATAAATAGTATCCCCTGCTGCTAAATCAATCATAAATAAAAATGCAAACCGGATACTGGACTTGTGTAGCTGTTCTTGGCTATAGTTGGGTGAGCATTCAGGCTCGGGAACCAGATTGCCACAGTTTGAATCCTGATTCTACCACTTCCTACATGTGTCACTTTGGGCAAGCCTACCTTAACACTCTGTTTCTGTGTATTTCTGCTACCACCTTATAGGGTTATTATGTGAAAATGAAATGAGGTAATGCATATGAAACACTTAGAAATGAGCCTGGCACATAATAAATACTCAAGTGTTGGAAGCCTTATGTGTGTTTTGTATTGTAAGTGTTAAATCCAGTTGAATCACACGTGTGTTTGTTTTCAAGTTATCATTAAAATGAAAAGATCAAGTTGAAAGTCGTTAAAGGGAACTTGTGAACACCTGAAATTATAGACTATAAAGATTGTATGTAGACCAGGGGTCAGCAAACTATGGCTGGCCATCACTTGATTTTGTAAATAAAATTTTATTAGAACATAGCCATATCCATTCATTTCCGTATTTCTTATGATTATCTTGGCTTTACCATGGGAAAAGTTGAGTAGTTGTGACAGACATCTAATGGCCTGTGGAGCCTACAATATTTTCTACTTGGTCCTTTATAGAAAATTTGCCTACCCCTGCTATAGACTCTAGAAACTATACAGTCCTTTATAATCGAGAATATTTTGATCCTAGGTGCTTCTAGAACTCAGTTTAAGAAATGATTGTTCATGATCTTCATAAGAACGGTGCATATTTGAATTACCTGTAATGTTTAAAAAATAAAATCATGTGTCTGGGCCCTGTTGGGTTTGGAAAGGACCCATATAATTTACAAAGGTTCCCAAAGAACACTAATGTTTATCCCTGCTGACTAGTGGATGATTTTCTCACATAGTTCAGTTTTTTGCTTTTTGTTTTTGTAAGGCCTAAGAGACTGCTTCAGAGTAATGGTAAGAAAAATGATGGGCCATTTTAGATCAGTGGGGCTCCAGGTTGAATACGAACAGAGTTTCCTCTGCACTCGGTTGCGAGATTAGTGTGGTCTCAATATATGCCTAGCGTTTGGTTAAATTTTCTTTTCACATATATTACAAACCTTGAATGTAGCTGCCTATCTTTCTGTCTGCCTCGCGTGTCATGGCAGTGACTGGGTAGAGCATGTGGTGAGAAAAAGTTTGTATGTTTCCTTGTTTCCTTAGAAATTAGTGTGTGTGTGTGTGTGTGTGTGTGTGTGTGTGTGTGTGTGTGGTGGAGGGGGACTGAGAAAGTTCTCTTTACTCTGTACACCTGCTCTGAAAACTGGCTTTAGGAAAAGGACAGGAGTAGACTAAGGTATGGTGATTTAAGCAGAAATAACTTTTCCATAATTAGACAGTAAAAATATAAAATCCCTGGGCTCTTTCATTGCTGATATTATGCTTACTCTATCTTGAAGTAATTCCTGTGTTTAATAAAAGCACTTATACAAGAGAAAACTTAAAAGTGAGTCAGAATATTTGGAACTGTAATATCTTAGATAGGAAAATTAAGCAGCTTTTACACAGTTCTTTATAATAACTATTCATTCTAGTCAGATTTAGAATGAGTTGTCTGCTGCAATAAACCAGGTTAATACGGTTGACCCTGACTATTTAAATTTTTTTTTCTTTCTTTAAAAAAATGTAGGCATTTCAGTCGAACCATGGAAGAACTGGTTCATGATCTTGTCTCAGCCCTGGAGGAGAGCTCGGAGCAAGCTCGAGGTGGATTTGCCGAAACTGGAGACCATTCTCGAAGTATCTCTTGCCCTCTGAAACGCCAGGCCAGGAAACGGAGAGGGAGAAAACGGAGGTCGTATAATGTTCATCACCCGTGGGAGACCGGTCACTGCTTAAGTGAAGGCTCTGATTCTAGTTTAGAAGAACCAAGCAAGGACTATAGAGAGAATCACAATAATAATAAAAAAGATCACAGTGACTCTGACGACCAAATGTTAGTGGCAAAGCGCAGGCCATCGTCGAACTTAAATAATAACGTTCGAGGGAAAAGACCTCTCTGGCATGAGTCTGATTTTGCCGTGGACAGCCTTGGGAACAGAACTCTGCGCAGGAGGAGGAAGGTCAAGCGCATGGCAGTGGACCTCCCGCAGGACAGCGCTAACAAGCGGACGGTGACCCAGCCCCTCGAAGGCTGTAGAGATCAGGACATGGACCATGACAACAGAGCTTACCAATGTCACGAGTTTACCAAGAGCAAGGTCAAGAAGAGGAAATTGAAAATAGTTAGACAAGGACCCAAAATCCAAGACGAAGGAGTAGTCTTAGAAAGTGAGGAAACGAGCCAGACCAATAAGGACAAAATGGGATACGAAGAGCAAAAAGTCTCAGACGAACTCATGAGTGAAAGGTGACTTTCCTATTCTCTAAATATAAAAATATGTCTCCACTGTTTGCCGTTGAATGTGTTTCGGATTTTAATTCTATTTTAAAATAATCATAAGTTATAATAATGGTAGTGATATTACCGTTTAACCGTGGTTATATTTACTTATAATTTATGATGTTTAGCACAAAGCAAAATTGCTTATCTGATCTATGAACAGTCTTTTTGATTGTGTTATAATGACTTAATTTTCAGCTACAAAGAGAAAAGGAAATGGATTTTCAATGGGAAAGAATGCTTTTGAATAACAGCGCATTTATAACTGTTAGAATTGCATTTATAATTATTTACTTGTTTAATTATAGAGCTCTAGCCGCCGGTGCTTTTTAGTGTCACAGTTCATCAGTTTATTCTGATTCCTGAGAATAAAAGTGGATACCACTTCACTGTGAGTGGCTAGATATTTTAAGAAGTCTGTAGACTGCTAGGAATTCTGATCACTTATGAATTGTAAAACCCAATTTATAGTCTAGAAGCTCCTGATCTTGTCATTAGACAAATGGGAGAAGCAGTAATCCTTTGGCAGTTAGTCTAATCTGTCCATTCTAGAAAAGAGGTATACCACAATGATAGCTGTTAAGGACTGTTTTGACACTTTCAAAAGGTAAGTGATCACTTTTCTTTTACACAGAACTAATGTTACCTGCAGGAATGAGAAAACGTTGACACTGTTCATCCTTTTAAGCATGTCGTTGAAATCAAATGCACAACTATGGTCAAGAAAAAAATATTCTTTAAAAATGGTCTGGGAAAGAGTATTTGATTTTTAATTGGTAAGATTGGCAACATTTTAATCATGTGGATTGTGAGCTATGGATCTCATAAGCGTATATATATATATATTTTTGTCTTTCCCCTTGTAAATGTGGTTACAGGTATGCGTAGGACCTGGTATAAGTTTATAGAATGGACCTTTTATTAGAGGTGGTTTGCTATTTATGTAATTTTCCTAAAGAACTAAAATTTACATAAATGTTTCAGGGAGGTTTTGAGAAGTTTATGGTACCTGCTTTTCTTCCAAGAAAGTTGTCATTTTTATACTGGAATGAGAATTATTTGTATGCAGGTATTGGGCCATTGTGACTGAGGACCATCCAGCTTGACTTGAAAGTAATTATCTTGCTTAGTTGCTGGGAGGGAGGGTGTGTGGCAGCTGAGATAGATCCTCAATTCTGTATTATTCACAGATTACCTGCTTTCTGGATTGATTGTGTAAGCCCCTTCTCTTATTGATGTCTTCCTTTTATTGACAGACTGGACTAGAAATGAGATAAAACTCTCTTCATTTCTATTCATTGTAAAAATATTTGAGTATTAGGTGCCATCAGGCTACCCAGCAGTCAACAGGCTAAGTACAAATTTTCAAAAAGGATGTTTTCACTCTTGAATAAATTAAATTTATTTCCTCATATTTTAAACTTACCTATACAGCTATTCTTTGTGGTCACTTAAGAGTTAGGTGCATATTCCCTCTGTGGGAAGATTGCTAAATATTTAAAGTATCTTCCCAACAAGAATAAGCATTTTTTGAGACCACTTCCAAAGCTTTCCTACTATAAAAAGCTATATATTGCCTTGGAACTGATTTATAGATAAGAACGGAACTACTTCACTCTGTGTGTGTGATTTAACACACATCTGAATAACTGCTGTTTACTGTTCACCACTCATGGTCCCAAGACAAATAAGACAGCCCCGGTTCTCTTCAGCCTCATAACCTGGAATAGCCAAACAAGCAAATGATGAAAAAGAAATGTGCTGAGTGGAAGGTACTGGTGAGGGAAAACTTCCTAAAGAACTGTGACTGAAAGCCTTGTTCAGATATCGAGGAGTTAAGGCGGATCATCCCAGGTAGAGGGAATAAGTTATGCAGAGACATGGTTGTGAAGCAAGTGCTATGTATGTGGGAAAGTATAGGTAATGTAACTGCATTACATAAAGTGGGAGCGGAGGCTACAGCAATAATTGTGTTTTGAAGGCCTGTGTGCAATGGTAGTTTGGATTTCATCATATAAGTAATGGGAAGTCAGTGAAGAATTTTTAGTCAGTTAGATTTATATTTTATCAAGATACCTGACCTTGACAACAGTGGCTCGTCTAGTTTTGGCTGACCTCCAGTCCATCCTTAAGAGGGAGGTGAATTACGGCAGCAGTAGTAGAGGACAAAAAAATATATAGGAGCAGTTTTAAGAGTTGGAATAAGTGGAAGGTTGGCTGCCTATATTTTTGGGAGGATGAATGAGAAAGAGGAATCTCAGATGATGCACAGGTATCAAGAATAGAAAATATAGGAAATGAACAGATTGGGGCAGGGGATTGGGATTGGTATCCATGCATTAATTCAACAAGCATTCATGGAATATATTCTCCTCTAAATACTGTGCTATAAAAGTCATACTAAAAAACAGTGGGAAGAGGTGTCCTTGAAGATAAGCCATAATGACCCTCAGCTCCTGAAAATGGAAAGCCTTGCTTCTGTTTAAGTTCTTGTTCTGATTTATTGTACCCACTAACAACTACATGATATACTTGGAGCAACTAGCTAGATGTCAATTAGATGAAATGTAAATAAGGAAGCATGTTGTTTAAAACACGTGTAAAAACATCTCAAAGTAGGCCAAGGATCGTTAAGGGCTAAGAGCTGATCTTAGAGAGGGAATTCTGATTTTCTTGTATCTTTAAGAAGAACAGCAGAGAAGAGAGAGGAGATAGGGATACCTCTTGGAGAAAGGACATAAACAAAAGGACCAGAGATGGGGATGGGAAGAATTTAAGTGGGAGCCCATCCATGGAAAGCCTTGATGACTAAATTTAAGCCTATAAATCTGAGGAAATAATTTAAGAATATTTTTTGAATTTAATTTTTTTATACAGCAGATTCTTATTAGTTACCTATATTATACAAAAAGAATTTTAATAGACTTTTTTTTTTTTTACACACAGACATATATGCACCTGTGTGTTTTATAAACTTTCTTTTAGAATAGTTCTAGATTTACGGAAAGCTTGCAAAGATAGCACAGTTTCTGTATACCCTGTTTCCATACATCCTACACCCAGCTTCTCCTATTAGTAATATCATCCGTTTACTATGGTACATTTGTCAGAACTAATGGGCCAATGTTGACACATTAACAGAAGTCAATACTTGATTAGAATTTCTTTTGTTTTTATTTACTGTCCTTTTTGTGGTCCAGGATACCATAATATTTTTAGTCAACCAGTTATGTTTTGAAAAGATGAAGCTGGCTATGTGTAGAATAGATTAAAGGGGGTAAATCTGAACTCAGAGAGATTGGAAGACTATTGAAAAAAATAAATAAATAAAGGCACATAGATTCACAGCCCTTTATCTGCAAATCTGAATCCTGAAAGCTGTGAAAAACTAATTAATTTGTGGCCAGACCTAACTTGACCTGTATTTAACATGGATATTCCTTCATTTAATTGAAAAAATATATTAATATGTTTGATTATGAAGTGCTACCCCAGACTCCTCTTAGGCATTTTAGAATGTACCTTTCTAAAGTGTAAAAATGTATGAATTTTAAATAATTTTGCCTCGAGGGTTTCAGAAAAAGAATTTAACCCAAGGTGTGTATGTTAAGGCCCTTTATTAGAGTTGTGTTGATGAGGGCGGACCAGAAAGCACTACTCAGTCACAGAGAAAAAAAAAAATCCATAGTAGTTTGGTCAGCTAAATAGCAGAAAGATTCTGAAATGTTTTTAATAGTCTAACACCACTATGTATAGAAGAGCATACCTGTTTGTAAATAAGAAAATATGTATTGATATGATGCTTTTAAAAACTATTGTTTTCTTTCCTTAACATATGTGCAGGATAGTTTCGTACATTCACTTAATTTGAAGAAAGTTAAAGAAAAAGGTACTAATTCAGTTTCTTGGGAGAATGTGCCACCTAAATTTTTATACTTTTTGTTTATATTTATTTTTTAAAAATCAAACAATCTGAAATGATATTTTGTATTCAGAAAAAGTATGTGGATTTAGAATTTCATCTAGAATTTTAATGCTGAACTCCCAATTGAAATATTTTAAAACAGATTAGGATGCTTTTTTTTTTTTTTAAACTAAGATTACAGAATTCTCCCTGTTGATGGAAAAGTATTATAACTTAAAAATCACCTGGGGCGATTTCCTGATTGGTTAGAATTAAGAATTACAGTAAAAAGAAAGTACATGAGAATTTTTAAGAACATCACTCAATATTGTTTAAAAACTAAACCCCTTATTATCTGACCTTGTCCTTATGGTTTTTTTAACTAACTAGACTCTCATATAAGCATCGCTTCTGATAAAACTAAGTGACAGTTTAATTCATGTCAGTTGAATATTTACTATTTATTTTCATTTATATGTTAAGTTTGACTCTGTATCATACTCTCCAACTTCTGTGGAAATAATAAGAACCTGTTATTTTTGTATACTTCCTCCTTAATAATTGGTGATATTCATTTTCTGCTCAGAGAGACCTTAGCTTTGATTTAATGGATTGTTACCATTGTAAACTTCTTTCCTCCTTGCCAAATAATAGAGTTGTTGGGAATTCTTAAGTAATGTCTCTTCTGGAATATTTGCAAATATGGTTATGAAAAGTAATTCTATCCCAGGCCCTTGTATTTATTTCATGTGCTGAAGAAAGGCTGAGCCTGCTTTTGATTGGGACTTTCCCCATTTTATTGCGCAGTGGTGTTCAGGGCTCAAGCTGAATTGCCTGGAATAAGAAAGGAGCAGTAAGCATTTGATGAAAGCAGATAATAAAGTGCATCAATTGTGTCAGCACCTCGTTGCAGTCACTTCTGGCTTGCTGTCAGAGTCCCATTAGATTCCTGTGGTTTTATGTGCCAAAAATAATATGCTCTGTAGTTAATGGAACCGAGATATTTGCAGTTTGATTAAAAAAAATCATCTTATTTTCTTTCAGATCTTTGTCAGGCTTAAGTTCCATCTCTGAGCTGCCATGTCTCTTTAAAATTCGACAACTGAGAGATCAATTGTTCTTTTGATCTGTTTTTTTTTTCTTTTCCCTTATTTTAGTGAATCCAGCAGTCTCAGCAGCACTGATGCTGGTTTGTTTACCAATGATGAGGGAAGACAAGGTACTGAGATGCTATTTTTTTATCTCTTTGCGAAAAATGCCTTCATTTTTAAGTTGTGCTTATTACTAGTTGTTTCATAAATTGATGACTGCAATCCATTTACCTTAGTGCAATCCACACACTGCTTAGTGGGCTGGGGTTTAATTATCTCCAAAAGCTAGTCTGTGGAGCTAATAATGTTAAGGAAGGATTATCTTCCTTGAGAAAGCTTTACATACCTCAAGTCTTTTCAATTTTGTCTCTTTTAGCAAGTTCACAAGACCCTGGTTCTCATTCTCCACCTGGTTCCAAATGTATTTAATTCTGTTTAAGCATTAATAAAGGTGGATTTGCAAGTCATTTGTCATTTTTATTCAGCTGTGACATTTATTCATCCTATCCAGTTTGTAAGTAATTAGACCATTTTCCTGAATTCAATATTGTACACTGTTAAACAGTAATGTCTTTCAACTTACATCTTTCCCATCTTTGAAATTTCCTGAAGCTTTTCACACTTTAATGTGGCATTATTTTGAAACTACCTGTCCCAGTAGAAAATATGAAAACCTTACTAAGGGGGCAGGATACATACATATGAATACTTATCATAAGTGTTTTCTTCCTTTCTTGAGACCTTTAGAGGAAAGCAGTAATTTCTAAGGGAAAAAAAAACCCACAAAAATTTTTTTTAATTATAAATAGTTTAATGATGTTATGAAAAAAGGATAAAATAATAGCTGCGCCACATTTTTTTCTTAGTCTATTCCTCCTCTTGGCAGTACAAATTAAGTAAATTAAATTATTATTCCTTTTTGCTTACTTGTAAACCATCTGTCCCTGATAAATAGATACATAATTGTTTTGAAGACCGTAGACTTCACTGAAATATGTTAGAACCTCAGGGCTAAGAGTAAGCTTGACTACCTTGATAATATACCTAAATTCTTGTTAAAACACCTATGTCTACCCAAAGTTATGTTATAAACATTGCCTTTGATAATGAAATGAAATGAAAACACTTTTTAAAAAAATAACGTTTTGACAAGCCTATCCATCTTTGAGAAGCATTGGATGGCTTAGAATAATCTGCTAGCATTTATTGTGAGCCTATCATGTTTCATATTGCTAATTGCTTTTTTACATTTAACTTACTTTAAGTTCTTGTTTGATTCTTAATACAGCCCTATGAGATCTCCCCCTCTTTTTTTTTCCAGATGATGAAACCCAGACTAATAAAGTTGAAGTAACTTCCCCAGTGTTACAAAACAGTAGAAATCTAATTGTTCTGTCTGACTTTAGAGCCCAAGTTCTTAATCTGTAGCTATTTGATTTCTGTATTAAGAATAAAGTTGTATATCACATCAAAAATAAAATAACCCCATTTTTCTATTATAATGTTGTCTAACTGGAATTAAGATCTAGGGTAGTCAGTTTCAAGTGACTCCCTTTCTTTTCTTATGCTTATACCTGACCTGTGAACTTCTACTATAACTCTCAATGAAAGTACTAATATATTTGTGCTTTGAATTCTTGTTGTTTTAAAAAAATAATTTTTATTAAATCCTCAATTGAAATAAACAGGTGACTTTGGTTTTCCAAATGGTTTAAATTTTTAACTCCCTCATAATTCTAAATACAGCCATTTCCCATAAAATCATTTTCAATGGAAGTTTAAGGGTTTTTTTAGTTTGTGTTTAAAAACATTTGTAGTAAGAGATTTTGGAAACGAAAAATCTTCTGTAAAGGGAAAAAGTTTACAGCAGTTGTGACGACCCTCTTAGAAGCTAGTAGTTTTTCTAAGAATCTTGAAGAAGACTAATGAATCTCAGATCATATTCAAAATGTTATTTGTCTCTTATTTTTAAAACCATCTGCTTTTCTGTTTTTGCTTTTTTTGAGGTTTTTTTTGTTTTGTTTTTTTGTCCCCATATACATCTCTTTATTATTCCTTTTTTAAAAAAATACAAAATACTGTTGATTTGGGGGCTTCCCTGGTGGCGCAGTGGTTGAGAGTCCACCTGCCGATGCAGGGGACGCGGGTTTGGGCCCCGGTCCGGGAAGATCCCACATGCCGCGGAGCGGCTGGGCCCGTGGGCCACGGCCTCTGAGCCTGCGCATCTGGAGCCTGTGCTCCGCAATGGGAGAGGCCACAACAGTGAGAAGCCCACGTACCGCAAAAAAAAACAACAAAAAAACAAAAATACTGTTGATTCACACCAAGGGCACATTTCAAACTGAATTTTAAATTGATTGTTACTTCATGGTTACACTCAAGGATGGTCCTAGAAGTCAGACTTACTATGAATAGGATTCTATTTTAAAAATACCTTGCTTGTAGAGGTTCAGTGTAGTTTCTCTGTAAACTCTGTAGTGTTGTCACTTTTCATTTAAAATCAACTTTTTCACAACTATTTCTTAATGAACTTAATCAGATTAATTTCATTTAGCCACATCTGTTCATGATTGTTTCCCCTTTTGCACTCCATAGAAATCATGAAATTAAGCTAATTATATACCATTATCAGCTGCAAAGAACGAGTTCTATAATTTTATACCATTTAATTCCTGGCAGGAGATTTATTTTTCCTTAATATGGAAAGGGTAGTAACTTAACTGGATTTCCCTACAGTTTTTGCCAAAGGATTAACCAGTATATTATTGGTTTTCACATTTTTAAATTGGTTCTGAAACATAACATTTTATGTTATTGTTGATGGAAGTTCTTGTTATAGTATTAAAAAAAATTTCTTAAGTGAAACCATGGTGTAGAATAAAAAGTTTTCTTTATAGATTATATAGATGATTGCCAGATAAAATACAGGATCCCCAATTAAATTTGAATTTTAGACAAATAATTATTTTTTAGTACATGTAGGACCCATTTCGTATTTGGACGTATACTAAAAATTTTGTACAAATACTATATATTTATATTAAAAATGAATCATCTAAAATTCAGATTTAATTACCATCTTGTATTTTTTAAATCTGAATCTGACAACTCGGTTTATTTGGATGTTAAAACTGAATCTCTGGGGGATTTCTTGTATTTGCACAGGTGATGATGAGCAGAGCGACTGGTTTTATGAAAAGGAATCAGGGGGAGCTTGTGGCATCACTGGAGTCATTCCCTGGTGGGAAAAGGAAGATCCTACTGATCTGGACAAAAATTTACCAGATCCTGTCTTTGAAAGTATCCTAACTGGTTCTTTCCCCCTTATGTCACATCCGGGAAGAAGAGGTCAGTAGCACTGCCTGACTGATGGATACAGGGGACATAGAGTCAGTCTAGGAATAGTCGTTGAAAGAAGAGGCGCTAAATGGAAATGAAAGACTCTAGACGCAAGATGCTATGAGGAAACATGGTGACCAGCAATTCAGCTCCCACTGAATTCTCATGCTTTCAATTTATTAGGAAGGTTGACTTGCTTTCTTGCTAGGCCCATGGTAAAAATGTTGAAATGATAGAAAGGTAAATTGGGAGGAAAGAAAAACCCTGGATAATCCTCTAATGCTTAAACAATTGGTTGTCACGTGCTGGCTGCATTAAAACCCTACTAGGCATTGGTTCGGATCTTTTAAGTGTGAATTTTGCCTCTTCCCCACTACTGTTCAATACATTTCCCCCTCCAACTGACTTTGAATTCTGAATTGATAGAATCTTATTCCATGCTCCAATGATCATAAACCCTCCTTCAACTGAGGACTTTGATTTTCCAGGTTTCCAAGCCAGACTCAGTCGCCTTCATGGAATGCCTTCCAAGAATATTAAAAAATCGGGAGGGACCCCAACTTCAATGGTAGGCATGCTTTCTTATTTACTTCTCATGTTTGGAAATGTATCCATTTCTATGGAATAAAAAGCCACATCCTCATCCTTTATTCATATTCTAATGTTATACTTAAAAATAATCCATTTTTTTGTAGGCTACAAACTGGACCAGTGAGATTCCCCTATAAACCAAATCTTCTAATGCTAATAAATTAGTTACGTTTTGAACATCTGGGGAATGACATTCGAGGGAACCTGGCTCCTGTCCTCTTCCCCTGGAGGAATATCACTGAAGTGAGAGCCTCTTTGATGAAAAGATGGGGCTGTTTTTGCTGGAGGACTGGTATTCTTCCTTTAGTCAGAAGTGAATCTGATGGGGGAGGCTTTTAGGGATCTAGGTTGGCCCAGGGTGGATAGAAACTACTGTAAATCTTATATATTTTTCTCTTTTATGATTTTTTTTTTACATTGAAACCATTTATGTATCACTTGCTTTGCCAAAATGCTAACAAAAGCTAGAGAATTAAAAACTTCCAGATCTCACATCAGTATTCCTTAATGTTTATATTGTGACTGGATAAGAACTCATTTTTACATATCTGACTGTTGTAAATTTAAAAACATGATGCATTGACATTTATGGTTCATTTTTAGAGAAATCTTATATAGCCAACATTATTTAAAATATTTGCATTTTACTCAGGGTATTTTAACAAGGGCTAAGATGAGTAATAGGTAAGGTTGATAATCTGCTAGAGTTTGTATTTTGTTCAAGTTTGCTTTCTACTTGGATAATCTGCTCTGTATTGCAAACCCATTGTATTTTATAGTACAGTTTTTATTGTACTTGGAAAAATCTTAGTTTTAAACTAGTCACGGTGATAACTAGTCTGTGCTAGTGGAATCATTTACTCTTACCTTTTAAATTATCTTCTCTGTCTGATACCTGAAACCGTCAAAATGATCATTCTTGCTTAGAGCGTATTGAACTCATGTGAAAGCTGGTATTTCAACAAATACTGTATGACTGAATCATATTGTCATGTTTAAAAGTGAGAGCTGCTTACACATCCTTAGAATGGCAAATGTGTGTGTCACTGTGAGTGTCAAAAATACTTGCATGAGCTCATTTTCACCAAGCAGAAGGGAAAATGTAACATTTCTATTGATGGTATAATTTAGATACTATACTACATTCAGCCCAGTTCTTCAAAATGGTTATATTAAAATGATTAATATTTTTATTAAGTTCTTATAATCGATGAAAATTGTGATTTAATACATGTATTTTTATATTATTGTATGGATTAATTGTTAATTCAGCATTTAATGGCTAATTTAAATATGATGATTGGAAAAGAAACTTAAAGTTGACATTTTCTTTACCTAAAGTTACAATCTGAAAGATTCCAGCAAATGTATTAAGTAAGAATGTGTGACATCTTTTAGATTGCTTGTCTAAACTGGAGAGATTAAAAGTGATAAAGTGCAACTTTGAGTCTCTTTACCTTTGCATATTTAAAGTGATATTTTAGAGGGACATTAATATGGTATTCGGTCATTGTAAGTAAGCTTTTTTTGTGCTATGTCCTTTGGAGTGAAACTTCGTGATTTTTTTCCTGAATTTACATAAATGTTTTTATTTTGTATAACGACTGTCTTTTAGATCTGAATAAGTCACTTTAAAACCTTGGCCTATGAACTTTGCCTTACCAATCGTGAAGCTAGATGAATGCTATCTAGCTCTTGGTTCAGTTTTACCGATTTTTATTTTTGGTTCACTGCTTGCTTGAGCATAGCTGGGATTTGTAGCCCATTTTCTCGGCTTATTGCAATCTCACTGTGGTATTTTATAGAAGCTATTACAACTGATAGGCTAGCTTCATGGTATTGATGATACATGGCTTAACCATAGTAAAAGCTGCCTTCCCTCTCTCAATTGTAAAAAGGTGATTAAGTTTCACTTGATGGAGATATACTATATATGGTGTTTATCATGGAACTAGTGCGTTAGGCCACAAACTGTTTTCCTGGTCCATGTTTTTTGTATTCAAAATTTTGCTGAAGACAATGGGCTCCTTCAGGTTTTCTTTCTTTCAATTCTGAATTGTCCTTGTTTGGAGTTTTAAGTACTGTAATCTTTTTTTTTTTTTTCCAATAAAATATCTGACTTGGGCAAGAAAGGTAAGAGTTCCAATTTGTGCTGATATTTTTAAATTCCTATGCTAAGTTTTTTGTTGTTGTTGTTGCTTGTACTGTCCCTATTACATGTAACCATCTAGTCTTAAAAATCGTAATCTCATGAAACAGTCATCTTTAAACAGTATCTCTGACATCCGGTAGTAAGAAATGAAACTTAATCCCTTAGACTTTCACATTGGAAAGCCAGATTGCTTTTAAGAGAGATGAGTTTCCTGAGCAAAGTCAGACACATGTAGCTGCAACCCATTAAATGGAATGACAGCATAGGGTTTCTTTTTCTTAAACAGATGGGTGATGACTACAAAAAATAATGATGTTCTTTGAAGGAAATGACAGAAGGAGAATCTTTTACTGAAATATTAATGTAAACATTTTTGGAGAAAAACTTTCAATCAGAGTTTTCATTATTCACCATAGTAATGTTCTATAAAGTTGCTGGCAACACTGAATTAGAGAATGCTGAACCATTGCTCCTGAGAGAAACGCAGGGTTATGTTCCTGTGAGCCTTTGGTCGTGACATTTTCATCATTCGATCAATGCATAGCCTTGTTTTATGTATGTTTTCGTTTAAAAACACCTTATTTAACATATATTGTGGATCCATTCACATTGAACTCATGACCAACAGCGTTATAGCTTGTGCCCGAACAAAGCTTATCTAATACGTGTGTTTTCTCCGTGAGGCACAGCACAGCATTCTTTGTGCTTTAGCGGCAGCAAACAGCACTGCAACCTTATGCCTGGGGACCATTTAACACAGCGAATCACCAAAGAAAGCGCGAAAAGGTGGAAAACATGGCACTAAATAAACCACAAAAAGGACACTTGTTTACGGTATTAAGAGCTGAAAACAAGAAAGCAGTGTTGCCTTGTTTGACTTCAGTAGTGCATGCACATGTGCCTCAGGTGACTCAAGTTTTTCATTGCTTTTCTCACGTCTGTGAATGACCGTGAAAGCACTATGAGTATTGATTTGGGGGTTACAAATAAATTTTAGTGGATATGCAAATTTGCATATGTAGGACCTACAAGTTGGAGTGAGGATCGACTCCAGTTAGTTTTGTAGAAGAGCAAAGTGATATTGTAGAAAATTTACAGATTTTGAAGTCAGACGTTGGTGAATCCCCACTCTGATTCTTCTTTTTACTTGTAATTACAATTTGAACCTCATTTTCTCTTTCTGGTAAATGGGGACAGTGATTACTTTGCAGAAGTGTTGTCAGGATTAAATGAGATTGTGTTTCCATAATGGGTCCAGCACCATCTTTATCACATAGTGTATATTAAATAAATGATAGTCACACATATTATTAGATATATTAAACACAGAAGCTCATGTTGCAAAGAATAGTTGGATCATGGGTCAAAGCGCAGAATTTTAGACTTTAAAACTTATCTGTTCATATTTTATATATAATATCCCTTCATGTTTAATATTTAAAGTGCTTTTGATTGCAGCCTTTTGTGTTTCTTTTGTACCTCATTCATATTTGAGCCGGCCCTTGTGTTTAATATGGTCTGTGAAGAATAATTTTGAATGAATTTTAAACTGACAGACACTGCATCGAATCTCAAAACTTAACTGCAAACTAAAAAACCTGTTCTAAATTTCTCCTCTCCACCCCACCTACCCCAATCGCCGCAATTATTAAGCTGTTTATTTGTAGAAAGACCGGCACTGTTTAGGAGGTTTTGGTCCAGAGTTATCTGATTCTTAAAAGTAATTTTGTCCATGTACATGAAGGGAGAATCCAGATAAATTTCTGAGAATTTAATGTTAAGAGGAATTAACTATTGCTGTCCTTCTGTTAGAATAAGGCGCTAGGTTATTGGAGCCCAACTAATCAGCCTCTTATATTCACCTCTTTTAGGAGAATTAAGGAAATAATAATTATGGGGCCATTATCCAGGAGATTCAGCCTGAATCTCTTGTATTTCCAGAATTTGTGCATCAGGTACAATTCAGAATGATAATCTTCAGAATAATGAACCGTCCCAGAATCAGTTTTGGGATACTGTACTGGCAAAGTGAATCCGATTAACCTGACTTAAGCATAGCATTTAAGTTAGCTGAGATGTGCTACCCCTAAGCATCCTAATTAATCAGTGTGTTCTGTGGATGAGAGATCTTGATCTTCTTTTCTTGAAATGGATGGTCTTTCCACAGTGTTACATTTATCTAAATTAGCATTCAAATTGAGTAGTCTGTTGAAAGATCAGGAAATAAATGGCTCCATTTAAAATATAGTACCTGAAATCCAACATAAATATTACATAAAGAATTGTACATAAGGGTTATAGGGTTCTGTCTTGAGATTTTATAATTGTTTCAGTCCAGTTTTTTTGTATGGTTGGAATGAGAAAAAGTATAATGGTGATGGTGGTGGTGGTTATTCTAGCAAAGAAAATGAATCTGATTTTATTGACTATTTAATACATGTTTATCAAATTTAAATATTTGAAAAAAAATGGAACATCAATCCTTAATCTAAATTGTCATGCTATACTATAAGCATATTGTTTGTATTCAACAATGCAGTAACATATCTGTTCAGACTCGAGTCAATTCTGTAAGAGAAAGGAATATTATAATATTTTTCCCTTTTATGAAGTCATAGAAGACAGGATATCATGAGTGGCATATTGATAATGATACTATAGTGATTTACTCTGTATGTCTTACTCAACTGTTGTTTTATTGTTTCTTAGGATACTAGAGTAGAAATATTTAGTCCGATTTATAGCCTTTTACAACAGGAGGCCCATTTTAAGTGGATTTGGTTTAAATAAGGGAACTACATAAACTTTTCTTTTAGCCTAGTCTA